GGTGTTACGATCGATAAACTGATACCATGTCCCTGATAGTTTTAGCTTCCTTATCTTCGAACGTTTGAATTTGATAAAATTTTGTAATAGATTCGTGGACTCTGAAAGTACAAAATATTACAAACACAAAATCGTAAGATGCTATATAGAAAGTAAGTGATCTATTTTCAATTTTACTCTAAGCTATAAGATGGTTTTTATAAATGATACTGTATATTTATTTATTTAGGTTTCTTTCAGTACCAAGATGGCAAGATCCATCGTTCCCTGAATCCCCTGTATGGCTGTACTCTCACACTCATCGTCACAGGAAAAAGAAAGAAAGGCAGAATAGAAGAGAAAGAAAACCATCACTCACTTTCCATCAGGGTCCGGTTTGTCTTCTCCAGCTTCCACTGTCCACTCCACTGCAGTGCAGCACTCCTAAAAAAAACACTGTCAAGCATAGGGCTGCACGGCATATTCCCCCAGCCGGCCAGCCCCCACACGGCCCCAGCATCAGATATCAGATTAGGGCCTGTTTAGTTCACCCGCTGAATCGGCGCCGCCAAAATTCGGCATACACTGTAGCTACTGTAGCATTTTGTTTTTATTTGGTAATAATTATCCAATCGTTGACTAATTAGAGTCAAAACGTTCGTCTCGTAAAGTACAACTAAACTGTGTAATTAGTTTTTAATTTCGTCAACATTTAGTACTCTATACATGTACCGCAAATTTGATGTGACGGAAAATCTTCTTTTTGCATAGTACGAAATTCTGAAATCCAAGGAAACTAAACAAGGGCTAAAAAAAGCGTCTCAGCAGCTGAAACATATTTTTAGTACCCAGGCTCCCAAAGAATCTACTGGCACCAGCTGTTTCCTTTGCCGCGGCCAGCCGCCCGATCCCCGCCCCGTCGCCGTTCGTCACCATGGCTTCTCCGCGTGGGAACACCAACATCGCAGGCATACCTATAAATACGCCTCACAAAACCACACGCTCCACACAGCTAGCACTCAGCTCAAGCTCGAGACAAGGAACCAGCTCACTCCGCCTCCCCTCCCACTGCAAGCTCAAGCAGGCAGCCACCAACAGGGATCAGCAGCTGCAGCCATGGACATCATGGGCCAGCTCCAGCAGCACGCGACCTCCTCGTCCTCCACCTCGACCTCGGCGTCGTCGTCCTCGTCCGAGCAGAACATCAAGGCGGTCTGGTCGCCGTCGTCCTCGTCCTCCCCGCCGCGGGGCGCACCAAGTTCCGGGAGACGCGGCACCCGGTGTTCCGCGGCGTGCTGCGCCGGTGGGTGTGCGAAGTGCGCGTCCCGGGGAAGCGCGGCGCGCGGCTGTGGCTGGGGACCTACCTCGCCGCCGAGTCCGCGGCTCGCGCGCACGACGCCGCGATGCTCGCCCTGCTGGGCCGCGACGCCGGCGCCGGCGCGGGGTGCCTCAACTTCCCGGACTCCGCGTGGCTGCTCGCCGTGCCGCCGCCGTCCGCGCTCTCGGGCCGTCGCGGAGTTCCAGCGCCGCTTCGGGGCAGCAGCCGGTGGGTCCGTCGTCGACGAAGCGACCTCGGGCGTGTCTCCTACATCGTCGTCGTCACTGCAGGGCATTTCCTCCGTCTCGCCGGCGCCGGCGACGGAGCTTGAGCAGGTATCTGCGAAGGCCGGTGAAACGGCTGCGGCGTTGGACGGCGACGTGTTCGAGCCCGTCGACTGCCTGTTCACTCGCACGTAAACGATCGTAAATTTCCAGTCAAAAATAGTATTTTTCTTTTCTCTCACATCAAACCAACCAACACTAAATAATTCACTATACGATACGGCTGGTTCGGCGATATGGACTTTGGAATTGGATGTGTACTACGCCAGCCTCGCGGAAGGGCTGCTCGTTTGTGTGTTGACTGTAACATGTGATGGTCCAAGTAACGAGCAAGCGGTAGATGTGACTTTCACGCAGCTAGCGGCTGTCCGGTCCCAGTGAGCGATCCAGAAGATGTGGCTGCTGTGTACTCTGGCACTTCCGACCGAGTCTGGTCATGGGCTCCGCTGGTTGAAGCGAATGCAACGCTGCGGAGGCGAACTTTGAGGCCCTGTTTACATCCCACCCAAAATTCAAAATTTCCTAAGATTTCTCATCACATCGAATCTTGCGACACATGCATAGAGCATTAAATATAGGTAAAAAGAATAACTAATTGCACAGTTTACCCGTAATTGACGAGACGAATCTTTTAAGCCTAAATAGTCTATAATTAGACAATTTTTGCCAAATACAAATAAAAGTATTATAGTGTCTATTTTCCAAACTAGAAGAGATCTAAACAGGCCCTGAATCTTCTCCCTGACTGTCTGCAAACAAAATGCTTCCAGTTGCGCGAGCTGTCGCTTCAATGGGTGAATGGAAAGCAGCCACGCTCTTTTTTTTCACAACGCGGTAACTTGACAAATTGAGTCGTCCATCCTGTTCGCTGGTTGGTTTCTGGGTTAATTTGGACTGGCTGGTGCTGGTTCGTTGTGAGAGAAAAACACTGTTGGCTAGCTAGTTTAGGCTGACTGAAACCAACAAACAAACGTGGTGGGCGACTCAACAAGCACTTCTCAATTCTCAGCTCTCGTCGCCTCTTTCCTCGATCCTACGTGGCCAACAGCCGAGGCTGGATCACCTCCATATTTTAAGATGGCAGTTCGTTCAGGGTCTTGAACAACAAAGACTGCCTTTTGCTTCCTGTGAGTATAATATCCGACAGTGGGCCTGTTCGTTTGGAGGAATTCTTGAGGAATTTGGATGGTTTGGAGAAATGCTGGAGGAATTTGTAAGAGAAAAACAATATTTCAGATAAAAAAGAAACGGATCAAGCCGGATTTAAAGGCACGCGAACGGGGCCAGTATCACGATTCAGTGGCAATTTTGCTTCGACTGTATGTTCTCTACAAGTTCTTTTTAGCTCACATATTTTAGTCCAATGGCGGATTAGGATGAAAGTTTAGAAGGGTTGAAGTTCTCTTCTTGCGAGCAGCACCCCGCGGTTGGATCCGCCTGCTTGATGTTACGTGTGGGTAGTCAATGACCACCTGGTCTTCGTTCAGTCTCACGTGGCGGCAAGGGAAAGAAATATAGACTGATCTGGTGTAAGAGTAAAATATTATTACGAGCTGCCACCGCCCCAGATGGGCACCCAATCTCATCTCGTGGCTCTGCGTGCAGGCCGTAGATCAAGTCGAGTCACGGCCAGGTCAAGTCATGTGTAACTTCTCTAACACGGTTGCAGAAGTACCATGCGGAGCAGAACAACAGAGACAAACCGATTAATCCTCTCTCTTCTGGACTATGGCACCAAAACCAAAATTAGTGGCCCAGTTCCAGACTGATGAACATTCACTCCAAGCAAATGGCGTGCTAGACCCACATGCATCATTATTCATTCACTTTTTTTGAAAACAAACGAGAGAGAGAGAGCAGCCTCCAGCTAAACAATGGAGGTAGCAGTCAAGTTACAGGAGCGGAGGTACAAACGCCAATGCTTCAGGCCAGCGAATTGGTTAGTTGATTCAGCTTAATTATAATAGACGACGAGAGATTTTACTAGCAAATAAGCATCAAAATGAGTCCGTAAAAAATTTCAAACTAAGCACCATAAGATAGAACATGATTTTAGCGAAAACAAATCTAAAACTAGTTTCATAGGTTTTTTAAGGAAAAACAATTTTTCTAAGAACTTTTAAGATTTGACCAAATTTTAGGATTTTTTATTGCATTATTTTTTCATGAAAAATATTTGGATATTTTTTGAAAATTTATTTTTATGATTTTTGTATATATTTTTAAAAATATTTATAGTCTTACCTTCTTGAACTTCTAGCTTTGTACGATTTACCTCTCTGACGTGGTGCAAAATCAGCAAAACCACCCAATTAGTAATAAATGGTTTTAAAAGTTGAAGGGGCTAAATAAAAACTAGTGTTATAGTTCCGAGAGAAAAATCGAACAACTGCGATAGTTGAGTATGGCAAATTATAGACTTCTTCCTCGGAAGACGGGAAGACCAAGTGTCCAAGCAAACCGCCGTTTTCGACCGACCAAGCGGAGGACGACAAGCTGAGCATCCATCAAATGGCATCGACGGTAGTGATAAGGTGCTAGGTCCTCATCTGCATCACCCATGCATAAACTTTTTGTCCTCATCTCTACTCATGGACACGGAAAGAGACTACGGTGGCATGGACGTTCACATCTAGATGGTCAGCGAAGCCTCAGACCTTCAAGATCTTCTCTCAGTGAACCGAGAAACCGCAACATGGTGGTAAACCCAGCAAAGAGATGCTGTACGCGAATTGCACCCAGGTCCCAGGCGAACAGCTTTGAAAAGTAAATGGAGACCTGCAGACCACACGCCATGCAACTGCTAACAGTTGCTGACCGCCGGACCCCGCCACCGCCATGGTGGCTGACTCGGACCGCCACGCACGCACGCCGTCCCTCCAAGCTGTCTCGTTTTCCACTTCCAGCTAATCGCCTGCCTCTCACTCCCCGCGGCACTGACGACCAGTCGTCACCAACTTGCCACTTGCCCATGGCTATATATACTTTCCCGGCCGCCTTCCGCTCCCTCCATCCAAGTCCGAGCTCCACTGCTCCATCGATCCCAGCTCGACCACGACCAGGGCTACCGCACATACTAGATACTACTACCAAGCTGCTGATCTTCAGCGAGTCTGCAATGGACACACACACACCCTCGCCATCGCCGTCGTCGTCTGCGGAGCACAAGGAGTACAGGACGGTGTGGTCGGCGCCGCCCAAGAAGCCGGCGGGACGGACCAAGTTCCGGGAGACGCGGCACACTGGGGCGGTGGGTGTGCGAGGTGCGCGTCCCCGTGGGGCGCGGGTCAAGGCTCTGGCTCGGCACCTTCGCGACGCCCGAGCTGGCGGCGCGCGCGCACGACGCCGCCGCCATCGCGCTGTCACGCCGCGGCGCCTGCCTCAACTTCGCGAACTCAGCGTGGCTGCTCCCGCCGCTGATGCCCGCCACGCTGTCGGCGCCAGAGCTGGCCAGCGCGCGGGAGCTCAAGGACGCCGTGGCCGAGGCCGTCGAGGCGTTCCGGCGGCGCTCGGTGGCCGAATCGACGCTGTCGTTGCGGGCGAAGGATACTGCCGACGACGAGCTGGAGGAGGACGATGTTGATTCCTCGCCTGGCGCGGTGCCTTCGAACGAGGCCGTGTTCGAGTTCGAGGACGTGTTCAGGTTCGGTGGCATGTCTGATGCCGGATCGTACTACGCGAGCCTGGCGCAGGGGCTGCTCGTAGACCCGCCGGACGCCGCCGGCGCGTGGCGGGAGGACGTCGAGCATGGCACCACTGACATTGCACTGTGGAGCCACTAGCGCACTAGTAATATGCTTCTGACAAATTTCAGACGGTTGTGATGGATTTTGCAATTTTAGATTCAGCATCGTATTGTTGTTGCTCATGCTTATTCCTGTTCCTATAATTCTGGAATTTATAATATGTAAATGTGTTTGTTTTAGAAATAAAGAAGAATAGCGCGGCACTATTTGAAAGGTCTTGACATTGGTAGATTGCCTATTTGAAACTTAGGTTTGGCGCCTTCTATGTCGTGGCTATTCCTTGTAGTGGTCGACGTACTCTTTTAGCCGTAAACGACGTACTCATAGCTATAGTTCGTCACATTAGTTTTGCATATGGATGTAGTATGCAGCTATGCATACGGGAATGTACTCATGGCTACTGCCTGTGATGGCTTCACCACATAATTCTCAAGATCACCTGGTCTCATGTAGGCGTTCATATAGATATAGTATGCATATGTCCGATCTCGAAAAAAAAATTAAACCCATCTCGAAAGATATATTATGCATATGTGTATTTGTAGGGTTGAGTTATAAATGTCTTCTGTTTACACTACGTTTGAAAAAAAAATCTAAGATATACTTAAGAAGACTTCAAAATTTCGGTGAAATTCTAGCAAATTCATGAATCCATGTCAACCAAAAAAAATGTGTTAACATCTAGCCTAGTGGAAAGTTTTCAGCTCCACATTCTAGGAGGTGTAGGGATCAAATCGTTAGCCATTTTTTCCTTTTGTGAAATTTGAACACAATAAAGTCAACTTACTTATTTTACTTTTGATCAAAATATTTGAATTATAGTAATTTCAGCTGCTAAAAATATACAAACTAAAATTTGAAGAATGCTTAAGTGTCACGGTGCTAAGCCTACTTGGTTAACTTGGCAAATTTCGGGTGTTCAGTTAATTATGTTCATACATGGTAAGTCAGCAGTTTGATCAAAACGGAGTAACGTCAAGCATTCCCATTCGTTATTTTGACTAGAGGTGGGACTTGGACAATGCCATGCTTAGACATGGTAAGTCAGCAACTGCAAATGGAGTAATGTCAAACATTCTCGTTGGTTAGTCGTTATTAGAGGTGGAACTTAGGTCACGCCATGCTGGCCTAGCCCGGTCGTCTCATGATTCATGCCGCTTCGAGTTGACTTCTAGGCCGGTACGACTAATAGGTCTTTGCTTTGGCACACGCATGACTCATGGCCCGTCAACCCAAGCATAACTCTCATAATATGTTTGCTTGCTTTCTTCGTCCGCTCATAACATAGAAAAATTATATTTCTTTTATGTGTTGTTTTTACAAGGCATGTTCACCAAAATATGTTACAATTAGAAAAACTTAACTAGAGGACACAAAATTCGTCACGTACGGTAGCCAAAGAAAATTAAGTTAAGCTTGTCATGTTACATCTAACTGGATACGAACGTTACTTTGTAAGTTAGATCTAATTGAAAGATAAGATATTTTTCCATTTTTACAAGATATGTTGCCAATGTAGATCTAACTAAATGGATGGTTTATAGTCGCTCCGGAGTACAGGAGCAAAGTCCATCAAAATATAAATTCCAGAGTCAATACAGTTGGAGCGCGCAACGATGCTGAAAAGGTGATATATATTCGTCGCCTTTTGCGGTCTGAAACCCGGCGGCTGGAGTCGTCCACATCCGGTAGATGTACTCCGTACTTCCTACAGGTGGGCACAACACACAACTTGAGGCAGAAACTGCAGAAGTCATGTTCAAAGCAACAGATAGATTTCCAGGCAACTTGAGAGTCGACCTAAATACCCAGTTACACGTGACGTAACCCATGCAATCTGATAGCAGTACTTGTTGATACTATAGGAATAGAGATGTAGAGGTATTGGAAGATTCAAAAGGCCAGGCCAACACATCGTCGGCGGCCCAACCATTCGCAAGATTGTGCAACTCATATGATACGGGAACACCGCGAACACGCTGACGGAGTGACGAGAGCTGTGTTGCTGGCTAACGTTGTTCGTCAGCTACAACTCCAGAAAGCGATTGGTCCGGTGATGTGGTCAAGCGGCCGCATGTGCATCGGCAGCATTATCTAGTCATCGACAGCTGAGAGGGAGGCCAAGCCCCATCTTGATCGGCAACTCCCTGCCTGCTTAAAACGTGTGTGTTACTGTTACAGCGACCAATCAGTCTGCGACGACAACAACGGCCAGGACTAGTTCAACTTGAAGCCACCTGCATGCACTAGAAGTAGAAGTAGAGCATTCTAGTACGGAGTACTCCCTCCGGTTCTCTAAAACAAGTTGTTTTGAGGTTGTCTTAAGTCAAACATTTTAAACTTTGACTATAAATAACTTCTTTTGGATCGAGTTTCAAAATATGAAAGTGATATAAGTAGATTCATCTCGAAATGTAGTTTCATAAAAGTATATATTGACTATATTTTATAAATATTTTATAGTAAAAAGTTGCAGTCAAAGTCGTTTCTTAAAGACCGTATCAATGTCCAAAACGACTTGTTTTACAGAACCGGAGGGAGTACTTGGTTAGCCAAGGACAAGGTTGACAAAAGTGGCTGTTCCAACTTCCAAGGGTGATTTTTTGTCCTTTCTCATCACTCCAGAGTCCAGAGTCCAAATGTAATTAAGCAGCCCAACAGTGACAGGTTGGTGGGCGTGCTCCGCTCCCCACTTCCACTTGACGGCAGGAGCAGGAGCAGGAGCAGCAGCAGCAGCAGCACGGTCACGGCATGCGTACAGACGTAGTACAGTGCAGCGCCGAGGCCGCAGGGAGGAGGAAGCTCTTGCCGTCGCGGTTCGATCGATCCATCGGCCCCGACGCGGCGGGCGACGGAGTCCAAGGCTCTCTCCATCTCCCGGGCCACTTGGATGCGCAAACAGCGACCGAGCCACCGGGGACAAGCCATTGTCGTGTTCGATTGATACTTCCAACGACTCCTCGCAAGTATCAATCGAACACAAGGCTTGCTAAAAAGGCAATATTTGTCTTGTTTCGCCGGCCGGGAAGGTTCACACCAGCCGGGGTGGTCTTGGTACCCCGTCAATCGGACGCGCACGTGTGATCGGAGCTAGGAAACAAGACCAACGAACCCAACTACTAAGAGTTTGCCATATCATTATTTGGCCAAAAGACCAATCAACTTGATGTGTCAGCAAGGACCAAGGACTTTCTGTTAAGAAAGTGCCGCGTGATTACACCCGTAGGCTCAGAGGTCAAGCATATCTGTGAGCCCTGTAAGGTTTTGCGTCGAGCCGTGGACCTCGAAGGAGATTGGGCTGGTTCTTGTTCACATCCAAATCTGCTGAGCCTTCTTTTACTTCCCTCAGAATCGTTGCTCCTAATCGTCACTCCACCAAGGCGGAAGGCGGCAACCAAAAGGCCCCTACCAACCAGAAGCAGACGGATTGCTGCTCAACCGCTGGCGCATATACCGACTTTCAAGCGGGGTGAGGTACTCCTCATGAAAAGGATGGACACCCTGTCACATGTGACACCAACTTCATCTCGTCCAAGAGAGCATACAATGCCATCTTCACAGGGAACTTGACGTCGACCCAAGTTGTATCTCTAGACGAGTTGTTTCCAGCGACCAACAATAGGGCTGGTACATGAGCCACTGGTACCCTGGCTCTTCTTGGATGACGAAGAATGATACAACGAAGAGAGATGCTTAATTATTGCATGATGCTCTTTTTATTTGGTGACCGTGCCATAGCACGTTTTTCATCGAGAGAAAATATTGTTAACAAGTTATAAACCTACTGTTGGTAACGATGAGAGTTAACAAGTTATTGCATTGTGCTCTTGCAGGCCGGTTTTTTTGGACGACAGTTTCGACGTCGCCAGGAGCACCGCTGGTGGGGACGCGTCGTTCCTAGCGGACTTCGACTACCACGTCGGCACCACGGCATCCCGCAAGATCAAGAACCATCCGCTCCTGGGGCGGCAGCAGGTGGAAACAGCGCCGCCGGCGTGGTTGTGGATCCACCTCACCGGAGGCTCCGGTGTCGCACTGGCGACACTACTGATCCGGTCGGACAACCCGTACCTCAGTGGGTTCTGCAACAAGGATGCGCGCTGCTTCGCGTTCCTCGGAGATGAGCGCAAGATTACGGGGTCGACTGCGCTATCCTTCGGCGGCAAGTACAGAGACTTGTTCGCAGGGGCGGATCTGCCACCGGGCCTGGGGGCCTTGAGCCCCTCTCAGCCCCCTTGAAATTTTAGCCATGGGATAAGGTTAGAAGAAGCTTGAGGTTGAAGACGATGGCAAGAAGAGAAGGTTTAGGCCTTAGCTTTGCTAAAACTATAGCTTCGTGTCTTCTTAACGGTTTGAACTTAGCCCCTAAACTTTTATCATAGATCCGCCACAGGAGTTGGTGGCGTACAGAGGCCTCACCTACCTGGTTCTCGGCAAGGAGCAGGCGGAGTCGCACCTGGAGGAGCTCGCGAGCTTCCAAGGCGGTGCCGACCTCCATCTGAAGGAGCCCCTTGCCTTCTTCGTCCTCACCGTCTGCGAGGCCGAGCGCTTCGTGCAGATACGCAACAAGGTGGACAGAGCTGTGGACGACCAAGGGCGGTGGCTCCATCAACGACATGCGCATCACCAGCCTCGTCTGGGACTGCAACCAGACGGCGCGCCTGGGACCTCAACTGGGAGTACAAAAGAAAACAATGCAAGAATTTTCAAGGTCCACCGGAGGCTTAACACCACAACTCATATCCTAGCCACTCAGGCCTTCAACTCTTCGAGCAGGACTTCTTTTACTTCACAATCTTCTTACACCGATCCAATGCATGTAAACAGTTGTCCCTCTTTGACAGCTCTGAACTCTGTAATTGGTGATTGCTTCACTATCATTGCGGCTCTCGCTGCTAATATAATATATTTGCCTTTGATAAAAAAAAGATCTCTTTGGCATCAAGGATGCGGTTGATGCACTCTCTCGAGTGCAGCCGATTCTGCACACTACGCAGTGTAGCCGGACTTAGGTATTGCATGCTCGAGTCATCAAT